TGTGTGTGTGTGTGTAACTTTGTTTGAAAGAAGCTTACAAGTTTTGGAGATTTCTCAAATTACTAAATGAGGGTGGAAGACGACCAGAGAGTCGATTCTGATCCAAAAATCTAAAAGCAGGAAGAAAAAAAAAGGAAGACGAATTCAGATATTTGTTTTCAGTAGAAAGCTTTAGCCTTTAGAATATATGTACATAATTTGTCTCTCTGTATGTGTGTGTGATGGAGAGAGAGACAGAGAGAGAGACAGAGAGAGAGAGAGTTCATAAGGTGCAACAAAGGTGAGCAAAGAACTTACAACATTTGAAGGGCTGTGATGTTTCCTAATTGGTTGGGAATTGGACCTGACAAGTTATTATAAGACAGAGACCTGCAAAACTCACAGATTATAAAGAAGAATTTGAAATGTTATACAAAGGAACCAACTGATCATATCAAGTCCAAGAAAGTCGAAGAATTAAGTGCAATGGTGAAAACAAAAAGTTGCAGAGAGTTTACTTACAATATTTTCAGAGAACTCAGTGCACCCAAAGATGATGGTATCTGTCCGCTGAGGAAGTTTTGATCCAGATAGCTTTTTGGCCAGAAAACAATGGAGCTAAGTTATTAGATGTTACCTTGTTAAAGCTCGGAGAGAGGGGTAGAAACAGATTAAACTTAAAGTCGAGTTAAGCCGAGTTGTAAGAAATACTGAAATTAGATATAGATATATACAAATTACAATATAGAATTCAAGATTAGATAGAAAGTCAGCCCATGTAAGAAAAAAGAAGAAGGAAAAAAACATGTTTAAATTCATTGAAGTTAATTGAACCAATGTATTTAAACCTTAAATTCTTTTCTCTTTTTTTTGGTAAAAAAACCTTAAATTCTTTCAATATTGGATATATACTTACAGATAAGTAAGATTGCGCAAGGATTTTATGCGCTCTGATAAGCCTCCGTTCAGTTGATTCATTGAAAGGTCTCTGAATATATGAAAACTCAATTACTGTGTATTCATATAAATTCAATAAATATGTATGTTTAGAGGTAAGGTCTGGCCCTCAAGTGAATTCTTAAGTCCTTATCTATATTTATGTATATACACTTACAATTCTCTGAGGGATGACAAATTCCACAAGGTATCAGGTATGGAACCGGTAAGCTTATTGCTGGATAAATCACTGTTTAACATATAATACATGCAATGGATTCATCGTTAAAGAAGAATGGAAGAAAATTAAATTGTATATTTCGTGACTTTTTTTTAAAAGAAAGAAAATTAATAGAAGGGATCGGTTGAAAGACTTTTTTTTAAAAGAAAGAAAATGCACTGGCAAAGACAAGTTTTCAATTCTCTGAACTCCTTGTTTTTTTTTTAAAAGCTGATTATAAATATAGATATGCATTAAAAAAAAAAAAGAGAGAGAGAGAGAGAGAGAGAGAGAGAGTGTTAATATCTCAAACTAAAATGAGTCCACATGCATGTATGTATTATCAGCAAAATAAGGGTACAAGAAACAAATTTGCATTTTCAAGATCTGAGAATGCCTCTAGTAATTTAGTTAGAAGATGTATACAAAAAACAAAAACAATGGAAATGTGTCTGGTACTTCAATATGAGAATAGCATAAACAACAATGAATATGTCACATCTTTCAATTTTTTGTTGAATTTGGGCTCAATACTCGAGCAAATTTTTTGTTCTTAAGTAGCTCTCTCATAACGAAATATTTATTAATTCAAAATGAGAGAAATGTGAATAAAAAGAGAGACGGATGAGAAGCAAACAGTCGTATACCTTCTTTAGGATCCAACTCAGTTGTTGTCTGGGATTGGGAAGATCCATGCCTAAAACCAAACTGCCAAAGGAGGAAACTCAGGAGCATATACTCAACAAGAAGTCTTGGACAGGTTTCGATATCAACCATTGTGCTTTGCTTTCAGATTCTAGTTTACTTTCGCAATATGCACACAAAGCCTTCTTCTCCCCTTTTTATAATGCAACAGAAAAATACTGATCTAATAAATTAAATCATTAATAAAGTGGGAGCGTGCAATTTCAAATCATTGAGAGTTTGATTCTTTTAATATTCTGGTTGGTTCAGGTTTTAGAAGCGTGAACAACTTACCCAAAGCAATAAACTGAACCAGTTTATCAAGAGTATTGTCATCAAATTAGCTTGTCGTGTTTTGTTTATTCAAATATACTCAACTTCATTCATCATGTAAGTGAGATAATGACATATCTACTAACACATTCTTTAATGAACAAATTTGATGATCGTAAGATTATTATTTATCAAACAATATATACCATGTTAACAGGGCCTAGTTGAGTGGAAGACATTGACTTGACTTACAGACCAGTAGTCTCAAGTTCGAATCCCCATAACAATAACTAATATCACTAAATTGCTATTTTGTTTACTTTGATCAAATACTGAATTTTAATATGTTACCGTTTTGGAAATTAGAAAATGATGTGATTTAATTTTGTAAAATGACTTAGCAAGCTCTTAAATTTGGCTAAGAAACTAGAAAAACAAAACGGAAGAAGAAAAAAAAAATTTAGCTTAAGCTCAAATCGAACCAAACAGGCCAATAATGGCTTTAGCTCGGATCAGCTTCATCGGGTGATTTCAGTTAAAACTAGCCAAATGAATCCATTCTATAGTAATTATTGATTGTGATTTGGATGTGAAATTGATGTAAATGAGAGCTTTGCTTAAACTTCAATGTCTGGGTGCTTTCCGTGTTTCAATGAAGCTCGATTTATACCCTTAGAAAAAGGTGCAATACTTTTATAGAGCCAACTAATTTGGGCGTACTCTGTCTTTCACGATTCTATAGAATTTTTTTCGCGAACAAATAAAGCAACTTTATTTTAAACCCAAAAAAAGAACTTTATTTTATGAACTGCAAATGCCCGAATCGATTTTGTTTTTTATTCCTTTTGATTAGACGGAGGAGACTTAAATATTCGAAGGCCCCTCCTTAATTAATAAAGCTTACTTTATGACCGAACAAAGAGCAAGAAGTTGAAAAAATTCCAAGAATAAATATTTATTTCGTTAAAGCTTTTACTTTATTAAAGCCACTTTGTCCTACTATTATTATTCCCCATGAAAAACTGTCTCACCCATTGGCAGTCCCAAATTAACACCACAAATCCCTTTTTTTTTTCATTGATAAATAAGAACAAGAAAAGTGTCCTAGATTAAAAGTTGTAAACCAAAAAGAATATATCATTGCACGCAATATCAGTGGTTTTTTTTTTTTGTTTTTTGACAAAACAATATTCTAAACTACTCTAATGTAAAGGAGAGAAGGATCGAAATCGGGTGCAAAGAGGCAGGCATGAACTTTTCTTTGGGTATTTTTGTCATTTTCTCATCCTCCCCCAACTGTATCCCTCTACTTCTCTCTAGAACCAATTTTTCTTTAGGAAAGACAGTGATCAATTACATTACTACTAGGGTTAATCATTTTATTAGTCCATGAACTTTG